TTATTAAATTTGCCATTGTATAGCATTGTTTCACTTTTACAACTTCTCCTTATGCTATAGAAGTGCTAATATATTAAAGAGGAGCTAAAAGCTTCTAGGCTCTGGTTTGCACTGTTGTAAGCACTTAAAAATGCAAACTCAGAGACAGCCACCTTCCCTGCCTCATTAAAACCTCCCACCTGGAAGAAATAAATCTCATTGTGCCCTTATGTGGGATGGACATTCAAGCTCAACAGGTGCTCAGAGGGACATGCTCCACATCACACCAGCGTTTATAGCAATGCTGGACATCAGGAGATTGTCCAGAAATCTGCCTGCACACCTTCACCAAAGACTGCACATTCAGACACTCTAGATGCCAAAATGCTTCACGGAAGGTAAGGCAGTTACAAAGTCAATGGATATAATACGGAAGAGAGGGGAAGTAATTTAGAGCTATGACATAAAAAGGTAACAAAGATATTTACACTTTCAGTTCCCTAAGGAAGCTCATGAGGAGGAAACATAGCCAGAGAAAAGGCAGTGAGGAGTCCAACAGGAGAAGTGGAAGGTCTGTGAGGTTAGGGAGGCGTTGCTGACATTAGCCTGGAAAAGGAGATGTGCCAGAGAGGTTGGACAAAACATTTCAGGGCTTAGGAAGGAGCGCACACCTCCTGCATGTTTTTTAATTACATGCAAGGGTGGCAAGGTCAGCACCCACTGAGCAGGTGTCTGCAGAAATGAGGCTGATCCCTGTGGAAACTGTGCCATGGTGTGCACTGCTCACCGTGCCAGTCAAATTCCCCTTACATCGCCTCATCTCCTGCCCTCTGCCAGCTCCCTGGAGCTCAGCTAACAGCAAAGGTGACTCCAGCCTCCTGCTGCCCCTCTTTGCGTGGTGTGTTGGATTTATTTTATGCAATCTTTCCAATGTTCAGTGTCCTAAGCACTAGGTACACATTAACAGTTCAATCCAGCATGTAAAGGGGTGACAATTTTTACCCGAATCTGGCTTCTCTGACCATTACTTTGCTATCTACTAAGCAGACATATTAAGCTCATCGTTGAAAGTCCTGTTGAGGCTGACTGCCATGATTTAGTGTAGACTGGATCTCATAAAGTCCATGGAGCACTGTGAGATGTCCTTGCCAATCTGTTGCTGCCTCTTCCCTGATCCCAGTTCAAGTGCTTGTAAGTCACAATGGGGAAGCAGAATAATGATTCTCTGACCACTGTAACCTTGGGCAGTTAGATTGGAATATAGGAAAATTACAGTAGTCAAGGCTGTGATAAATGTCTGTTCTTGAATAGGCAATGAATAACTCTGCATTGCAATTGTAAAATAGATGATATTTTACAATTTATATTTTACATAAAATATGAACTTCTACTGGGCCTTTGGGAAACACTTGCAAAAGCTTGGTTGGCATTCACACTGCTAATCCCAGAGATGGATTGGACTCCATTAAATAGAACAAAAATGTTACTGAATAAATAGTTAAGGCTAATGGCTTCCTATGCCAGAGAAGAAATAAATTATCCAACATGAGATGTTGTATTGCCCATATCACAGAATTGTTAAATAAAATAAGGGACTCAATAACTTGTCTAGGGAAATGATGTAGTACCTAACTTTATTTTTGAAAAGAGACATGCTAATTAAAGAGAGGAAAGAAAAAAAAAACCAACAAATATTTTAAACTTGATTGCTCTTACTAGGATCACAGACATCCTCTGATGATGAGCAAAAGGGCAGTCCTAAACAGAAACCCTAGGGAGCCTAAAAGCAGTGAGCCAAAGGAAACCTTTCTTTTAGTGCCTGTGGGGAGCAGAACCTGCTCTGTAACAGATGGTCCCTGTCTTCCTTCCAACATCTTTAGCAGTACTAATCTGAGCCACATTTGTGCTCAACTTTCCTTTATTCTCTGCCTGAGAATCACAGCACCAACACACACAAACAGCTTCATCCCGCTAAAGGTTCATCCACACAGATGTCCAGGTACACTTCTGTAGCCAGCACATGAGAATTCGACCTGGCATGGTTAAAACATTTGATTTACTTCCTTTTAAGGACATCACAATTAGATAAAAGTAATGACAACTAATTCTCATGCAGGCTGTTTGCATATTCAGAGCTCCTACATGGACCTGCCTTATCATGAATGAACAAGATTAATTTCTATCACAGACCAAAGCAGCAGCAGCAGATGGGACAGTGCAGTGTCACAGCATCACAGAATAGTTTGGGTTAGAAGAAACCATCAAGACCATCTAGTTCCAAACCCCCTGCCATGGGCAGCGACACCTTCCACTAGACCAGGTTGCTCCAAGCCCTGTCCAACCTGGTCTTGAACACTTCCAGAGATGGGGCATCCATCTCTGGGCAACCTGTCACAGTGTTTCAACACACTCATAGTGAAGAATTTCTTCCTAATCTCTCATCTAAACCTACTCTCTTTTAGTTGTGTGACTGCAGGTTAAAGGAAGAGGCTACAGCAAGACCCTGTGTACTACAGTCTAAAAGACTGCACTGTCTCTGTTTCAGAAGGTTTAGGCTTATCCATTTTTCTGTGATAGTGATGCATTGCACAACTGTGCAGTTTTCTGTCTAATCAGTGTCAGTTCTCTAGAAATGTTAGTCGCCTCAGCAGCCTTCAAGGTGGGTGATTTCACAGTTTTAAGTGTAGGAAGTGTGATTCCAGAGACAAAAAAGAGCCATTCTTTCTCTGTACCAGACAAGAAGAGCAATGTTCAGCCTTAGGCAGGTCTTGTAAAGAAAATTTCCAGACTTCTCACTCTAATCCATCTCCTTCACCATACAGCAGAATCTACATTTACAGAACTAATCACCTGAGTTATTTGTCTGGGTACCTGGAACTGTGATTTGAACTCATCCTGTGGAACAAACAGTCCAGAGTCACACATCCTATGCCAGATGTCAGACCCCACCTGTATTCCCTTGCTCTGCTGCAAAATTGCAATCAATTAGAGATTATTCTGAGTTCATATTTCATATTTACGATTTCCTGTCCTGCCTCTGATCCAGTTAAGATGAAGTTTGTCTAAACCAGCTCCTACCTCCCTCCTGCTTGGAGAGAATTTCAAATCTCTGGCTCATGAAAGCTCTTAATGCTGTGTTACTGGTAACTTACTCAGCAACAGCTGCATGTACCACATACCTCAGTTAAAGATTCTCATATTTTAATCTCTGAAAACTAACTCCCTTTTTGAATAAAAGGGACCATTAAAAACCAGGCTCTTAAGAGGGCCTCATTAATCCCTACTGTAACTTGTTGCACTTCACATAATGTCAGGGAACACACCTGACCTGCTGTGACATTGCCCAGCACCTAGGAAGGATTAGCATCGTGCCAGTCGTTTGTGTTACGCTGTGAAAAGCCTTTCAATTTCCACGTGTCCTGATCTCAAAACAGGGACAATGTCAAGGACTAAATTTCCAATAAGCCAGAGCTCTAAGTTGACCAGCACTATATAATACAATATGCATGAAGGTCAGAAGCAGCTGTCACCTCAGATGTGTATTTTGCACAAAGTTATTTTCTTAGCAAAGAAATTCACTAGAGCACGTTCCTAACTGAGGAAAATAACATCAGAAAATGGGAAGAGGTCATGTAAAAAATGAGACAATCAGGTCAGAACCCCAGTTCATTTTGACTGCATCAGCATGCTCGATCCAACTTCTAAAGCAGCCTTAACAGAGAAACCTTTTCCCTGTTTAAATTGCATTAAGAAGTTGAATTAGCTTTATAAATATAAATCAGTTAAGTATAATGCAATATTTATGCCATGGTATCTGATTTTTTCCCCTTTAGGATTCCATTTAAAAGGAAATAACAGGGAAACTTAGCGCTCTCAGAAAGAGAGTGGGTTTACAATTTATGCTAATTAATTTTCATTGACACAAAACTAAACCCTGCATTTTATTTGATTGCAGCAAGGAAAAAAAAAAAGAGGCAGATTGAGCCAAATAGATTCTTTTTTTTCTGCAACAGATAATGCTGTAAAGAAAAATCTCTGATTTTACCAAACGTGAATTCTCATTCATTCATTTTTCTACTGTACCACATGTAGGTCACCATGCCCCAACCAGTCCCAATCCCTCTCCCAATTCCAAAACACAAAGGCAAAGGCATAAGCAACAAAAATGGTTCAATTTATTTGAAGCCCTGAAAGGCTCCAATCAAGATCAAGAGGCCATTATTCTAGGAACTATATAAAAAGAGAAATATCCCAGTCCTGACCCGAAAGAGGTTCAAAATTTTCCATTAAATCAAATAACAACATTCAAAGTTGGAAGAAAAAATTCTATTGCTAGTTAAGCTGGGGGAAAAATGCAGCACTGTTCTGTTGCTAAAAAGGCTACTTGGAATTTGCAGAAAGAACAAGTTGGCTAATTCCATATATATTCACTGAAGAGTCTGAGCCAAACTCATAATTGTTATAACTTGTTTGGCTTCTCTGACGCTATATCAAAAAGAAAGGTCTATTTTCTATTAGAATTATTCATCAAGGATCTGCAAAAATCTGACATGAAGTTTTCTTCCAACTTTGGCTGAATCAAATTCTATCTGGTGTTCAAACAGATCCATTTTTCTCTTCTCATTTCCCACACATATGCCCCATCTCATTTGGGCAACAGCGAAAGGTTCTACACTGCTGAAAGGGACAGTATGCACTATTCCATCTTTGATTATTTTAGAGAGTCAGAAAAAAGCTAAAGAGCAACAACTCCACCACACTGACCAACTCAGGCTCTGTCAGCTTTGTCCCAGTGCCCCAAATATTTACTTTTCTTTGCTATACTTTTAATTATTCATTCAGGTTTTTTCCTACTGTTAATAGAATTTGCCCATCATATTGATTAGTTTACTTAGTTCAGCTGGATTCACAGTGTAAATAAGATTTTTTTTTTTTGTCATTTTAATAACCTCCTTCCTCCAATGACTCCATTTTGGCTTTTTCCTCCACCTAATTTTAATAGAAGCTGCAGCACTAATTACCTGCCCTCATATCAATGTTTCCTCAGCAGCATCCTCCAGCACTGAATTGCTGCTTTCCTTATTGTTATTGTCATTAGCACTGAAGTACTCTTATAAGGAACATTTCACTCAGCCAGCCTGAGGTTCTTACTTCTGCAACAGAAAAAGAATAATTTCTCAGTTAGAACCAGGATGTTGTCTACCCTTAATGAGATGGCAGCAGGATTAGAAATGGAGATGTTTTCCATTACCTATCCACATTCATTTAAATCCACATTTTACTGAAGTAAACACAGGCTTGTTCTGAGATGCATGTTGTGCCCATTCCAAAAAAAAAAAAAAAAAGAAAAAAGAATTCTTTATCTCAGGTTTGCAGCTTTCTCAAACATCATAAAATCCTAATTCAGTTTTCCTTATTTTAATGGCTTTCCCAGTACAGTTTTCAAGCAGACATGGAGGCTAGACTTATCAGTGTCTGGCAATAACATGATGCTATAGACCTCAAATAAACACGCAGTGTCTGAACTATACTGTGCAAAGATATCTAAAATATTAACAAAAAGGAGAGGGTTATACTTTAAGGTATGATAGAAAGTCCCTCAATTTAAAACCTATCTCCCATATCTTATCCCAGCATAAGAATAAATGTGTTTTTTTGTAATTTGCCAGGATAGCTGTTTAAGAATTTCCTGTGATTGAGATAGGAAGCAACTCTATTCAGTGCTTTTCTATTTTAAATATTTGCTTTAGTCACCGTGTGGCCTTACATCTTCACCATTAGCTAAGTCATCTTCAATATTTACAGATAGTTGACTTTGCTAATCCTTGTACAATCTTATTTTTAAAATAGCTGCCAAATGACTTGGGATGGGAATGCTATGAAACATATTTGACACCAATTTATTACTGAGGAGTGCAATGTTAGAAATTTTAGTTGAAAAGGGAAAGACTAAGCATTCCTCCAGGGAAAGGTGACACACTGAAGTAGGTGACACAAAGGACAGAGACATGTAGGGAGGTAAGAGGCAAAGTAGTGGCACCCACCGGAGGATGAGGATGACACTTCCATGGGGTCCCTCCCACAGGAAACAGTCCTTCACAAACCTCTCTGGTGTGAGTCCATCCCATGTGCAACTGTTCTTCACAAACTGCTCCAATCTGGGTCACTTTTCCGTGGGGTGCAATCCTTCAGGAACAGGTTGCTCCAGCATAGGTCCCCCCAGGGCCACAAGTCCTGCCAGGAAATCTGCTCCAGCATGGGCTCCTCTCTCCATGGGTCAGCAGGTCCCTGCCAGGACCCTGCTCCAGCACTGGCCTCCCGTGGGGTCACAGCCTCCATCAAACATCCACCTGCTCCAGTGTGGGCTATTCCCTGGGCTGCAGGTGGATCTCTGCACCCCGATGCTCCCCCACGGGCTGCAGGGGCACAGCTGCCCCACCACGGTCTGCACCAGGGGCTGCAGGGGAACCTCAGCTCTGCTGCCTGCAGCACCTCCTGCCCCTCCTTCTGCACTGACCTTGGTGTCTACAATGTTGTTCACATGTTCTCACTCTGCTCTTCTCTGGTTACAATTTTCATCTGCCCAATAACTTTTTTTCCTTCTTACATGTTATTCCAGAGGTGTTACTATCATTCCTGATGGGCTCAGCCTTGGCCAGTGGTGGGTCTGTCCTGGAGCTGCCCGGCATTGGCTCTGCAGGACACAGGGGAAGCTTCCAGCAGCTGCTCACAAAAGCCACTCCTGTAGCCCCCCCCCCAGCAAAACCTGGCCAAGCAAACCCAATACATCAGCCTGTTAATAATGCCATAGAAGAGTGTCCATGGAGCATTCTTGAAGCTCGTCAGTGTGGGAGCAAAAGGGTTAATTCCAATGGATTTCTGAAGTGGCTTAGCTAAATGGCATTATATAGTTATTAAGACTTTTTTATTAAGTGTTAAAAATGCCTTGATTAAATTTTCTTTACCTTCCTAAAAGATTTAAGTTAAAATCAAATTGAAGACATTTTATTTCTGACAATGAATGTGGGCACAGAATTTAACACAGTTTAACTAAATCTCCTTACAAGGGACTGAGGTAGAAAAGGAATCCTTGACAATTGTCACAGCTCCCAAGAGAAATCAGGGCAACTCTCTCTAACAACTCTTCATTCCTTCAGACAGTTGAAATCTGTCTTGTGCATTTAAGGAGGAATAGGGAGGAAGAAGAAATGTATATGCCTCATGCTGTAACATTATATAATGCCATCCAATACCAGAGGGAGACATTGGAATATTTAGTCTCATCCCATATGGCAAGACAAATGTTCTCCCAGTTTATTATTAATAGTGCTGTGACAACACTGTGACTCAGCATCAGAAATCATTATTTTAAATATCTTCCACCAGAACTGACTTGGCACAAACCTTTCTACCACAGAAGGCTGGTCCTGATTAAAACCCTCCACCAGCACCGAGATTAGCACAGTGATACAACAACCTGGTGATCCACTTCCACATTAAAATGAGTGTGTCCTAACCTTTGAGGAGTTGATATAGCATTTTGAATTATAGATCAAGGAAAAAAATGTAGTGGGTAAATGTTAAAATCATTAAAGTAGCTTTTCACTGCAAATAAAGAGTGAATGTTTCATCCCAAGACAGCTATCAAATGTATCAATTTAGGTTTTTAATCTCGAAGTGTGCATAAATCTATTCAGTCTCATCTCTTGTCATCTTCTTGTCAAAAGAAATTTCATATTACTTCCCCCCATCATTACTACCCATGGTTTCTGGAAACATTCCACTTTAAAATTTTATCATGGGAAGGATGAGGTCCCTTCTAGGTTTCATGGAGGGTTAAACTATGAAATCCACAGAAGAAGAAGATTCTATTAAAAATAAAATTTTTAAAAGTGGCTTAATACAGTTAGTAAAACAATTAGAATCATAGAATGACTGAACACCCTTGATATTTTCCCTCTCTGAACCTCCCTCCATTTCATTTCCAAAGTTCAAGAGAAACTGTAGCATTTGATGAGCATTTTCCCTCATTAGTGCGTGTGTGAGGAGGAAACAGGTGGATCTGTCACCCAGGTAGACTCCCAGGGACTGTTTCCTTGTGACATCCCTTCCTCAGCCATGAACACCTTCATTAGCTCACAACAACTCAAGAAATATCTAAAGGCTCTAAAAAACCCCACCCCACTCCAAACGACAGGCATCCATTTTAAAGGACTTGATAGTTTCAGTTACTTTCTATGTGTTTCTCCACCTACTTTTCTGCATAAGGCAACACACACATTTATTTCTGCAGCAAGCAGGTTGATGGGACATCAAGGGTAACCTGACTTTATAAATAAGTATACATAAGTATACTTATACATAAGTAGGAACTGGCAGCACAAGAAAAATCTTCTACATTTATTAGAGCAGGCGCGACACATGCATAAGACATCAAAATAACGAACAGCTTCTCTTCAGTACCTGCAGTTGTTAAATCCCGTTGAAAGATCATTTCCTAGAGCAGATCCAGTCATCCCAGTGCCAGCAGATGGGATGTACTCTCCCCACAAATGCATCCATGTGTAAGGAGGCAGTTCACTAGGCAAGGTGACAGTGATAAAATGACCATCGTCTAATTTGTGTCAGCAGAAATCAAGTTTTAGGGGATGAGACCTTAGATAAAATATAGCCCATCACCTGCTTTAAAGAGTGTTAGAAAAAGGAAAAAAAAACTACAAAGGGAGGAAATAACATGATAGTATTGCTCATAATAGTATCCTAATATCCATATGAACATGGACGTTAATTTGGCATTCTATAACATCTGCAACTTCAATGATCATCTAACACTGTTTACTAGGATTATTTATTTTTTTTAATTCTTTGAAAGTAACTCTCAAAAGGGGATGAGAGACAGACTTTGCTTTTAGATTTCACAGAACTTTCAGAGAAAAGAAACAATGAAACACGTTCCCTTGAGCTCCCTCAAAGCTTTAGAAAGACGCTTTCGTGCATCACTTTTCATGTCTCTTCTTCTTTCTAGTCCTCATTTCCTCTCTTTAGGATTCTAATGCCACTGTCAAATAACATTAATTCCCAAATTCAAATCCTATCTATTCCACCTCTCTGTCTTCACATCCCAACCATTGTCCCAGGAGTTGTCTAAATTCACTTTCTTCCCACAACCCCAACCTAAAGCCTTGTTTCCATCTTTGGCTCAGCCATTTCCTGGTTCCCTCTGCTGTACTCAAGCCTTTACCAGATCTGTACTTGTTCTCCTGCCTTTTCCCCCCGTTTTCTCTCTTTTCCCCTTAATCTCTCATCTGATCTCAAGTCACTTCAAAGAATTGACTTCTCACTTCTCCCTCTCCTCTCACTCTGGCATCAGATCTCCTCTGTACCCACTCCTGTCTAGAGCTGCCCTGCACCCTCTTTCTCAGCCCCTGCCCCATCCCTTTGAATTTCACTGTAATGACTCCTTCCCACGCTGCCTGTCCTGTGGGATGGAGGGAGAAGAATCCCATTTGGATTGCATTTTGTCACTGGGTAAAAGCAGCCCAGTGAAGCTTCATTGCTTTTCTATTTTTCCTGAATTTTTTGAGATACTGATTTTGAGACAATTTTAGGAGTAGGAGTATTGTACATCATAAGCACATAAGAGCTTCTGGCTGCAACCCAGCAGGAACCTCCTACATCTCACAGGTGGTTTGTGAGCTGCAGATGGAGAACTTCTGCGCAAAAAAACTTTTAAAAAAATCATCTAGCCTTATTTGTCCTTTCATTGCAGTTGGTTTTCAGCACTTCCTCATATTCTCCTCTTTTCTGAAGGCCACAGAATTGCATTCAACTTAAAGGCTTTAAAGAATAATAAAAATAGTCAGCTCTCTTATTTTGTACACTATTCTGACTGCTACCAAACTATTTATTTAACTAACTTCTACCTTTTCTGTTGTCCTTTGTGCTGTTGCAGGGAAACTTGATCCTTGGCTGGCAATAGCCACACATCAAATAGTGCCCCAGAAAGGCTTCTGCAGAGAGAAATGTAGTTTGCCAGGGACAGAGTAGAAAAGGAAGGGAAAGGGTATAGAATCATAGAATCATTAAGGCTGAAAAAGAGCTCCAAGATCACCGAGTCCAACCTTTGACTGATCAGCACCTTCTCAACTAAACCACAGCACTGAGTGCCATGTCACATCATTTCTTGAACACTTCCAGGGATGGTGACTCCACCACCTCCCTGGGCAGCTCGTTCCAGTGCCTGACCACCCTTTCACTGAAGATATTCTTCCTGATGTCCAACCTGAACGTCCCCTTGTGCAGCTGGAGATTATGTCCTCTTGTCCTGGTGTCTAGGAGGAAAGGCCAACATCCACCTTTCTACAGTCTCCTTTCAGGGATGAATGAAGGAGCATATCTTTGGCATTTAATAAGACACCAACTCAGCAAATTTTACAATATAAATTTGCAATGGTTTTCACAAGCCACTGAGAGCTGTCAGTTTTTCCTGCCCTGGCTGAATTTTCCCTGCTGAGGCTCTTCCTTAAGGAACACTTCTCTAACAAAGTCCTTTTCCAATACCAGTTTTAAGCTTTTGATCCTGCTGCCCAGCTCTGCCAGATTATCACTTCCAAATAATGCATTAAAGTAAGAGATGTTGAAAAGCATAACATCATCTAGTGAACCATGATATCACAGCCTGTAACACCAATTAAGTAAATAAAATGCACTCCTCACTGCACTGAGGAAGAGCATGACTGAGCTTTACAAAGTCATGGACACCGCTGACAATGTGAATGCAAAATTTTTATTCTCCAAGTCCCCTTCAGTAGAATGAGAAACACTCATGACTAACATGAGATATGCAAATAAAAGCAAGTATTTTTTTACACAGCTGTAATTTGCTGGCGCAAGCTTATCAAAGCAGACAGTAAAATCAGGCTTAAAAATGGATTGGAAAAGTTCATGAACAATAATTAAAAAGAAAGTAAACCAGAAAAAAAAAAATCAGTGTTTTTTGAGCCAGCTCATCTGCTAGTTTCAGCCAAAATTAAAGGTAAGAAGAAAAGGCCATTTATCTTTAAATTTGCTTCTAATCAACTGGGAACTTTGTTTGGCACATTAAAAAAAAAACAAGCTAAGTTGAAAGAAAAATCAAAATGTATTTCAAGTCCTATTGCTTTTTGTTCATTTTGTCAGGCTCAAATAATTAAACTCTCCAAAGGACATAAAACAGTGAAAACAGTATGCACGGCAGATGAAAAATGCACCCACTGCAATTATTTTATAATTAAGCCTTGATGGTGTAGCATTTAGAAAGAGTCACTCTATCAGGTTGAAATCCAAGTCTATAAACAGAGAGTTTGATTTTACTGTGAATGAAAGAGAAATCAAATGAGAATAGGATGCAGAAATTTTATATACCTGTACCTTGGACATTTCTCCTTGGTGACAAAAGGTGTCTCCACTTAGAGAAACAGTTTAGAGAGACAGATGTGCAACTGATAGAAAGATAACAGTACACAAGTGTTTGTTTCTCTGTTTTCAGATCTAGCCAGATTCTAACACTACTTG